TGAGAGGACAGAAGGGGAGAGGGGATGGGGGCCAATGATCAAAATTCATTACATACATGTTGGAAATTGTCAGAATGTTTTTTTCTTTTTTCTTTTTTTTTTGAGAAAAAGTCTCACTATATAGCTCTTGCTGGTCTGGAACTTGCTATGTTGATCAGGTGGGCCTTGAATCTTGCCTCTTCCTTTCAAGTGCTGGGATCAAATGTGTGTGCCACCATGCCCAGCCTGTCAAAGAATTTTTTTTAAAACCTTAAAAGAAGAAAAATATGACAAATCCTCCCCCAACCTCCCACACCTAACATCCATTTAACACCAGAATGCTCTGGTTTTCTACAAAGATGAGGCACATAGGCATCATACTGGCAGTGGTGCCCACTGTGGAGACTGTACACCTGAATGGTTGTGAAGGATAGCATGCTTATTTTCTGCTTGGTATAATGAAGCATTCTTTATAATCTGTACTTTTATCATAAATTTGGATTAAGCGAAAAAAGCTTCACTAAGTACGAAGTGAATATACTACTTGACAAGAAAAGATTTGTAAAGAACAAGGAGAATTCAGAAAAAGATTCCTACTTACCATTGCCTGAAAACCATGGCTGCCCCCAAGGTCGACATAGACAGCATCTTTGTCATAGAGCACACCCCCAACTCCAGAGAGAGGTGCGTAAACCAGCTTTTCCTTCTCATTTAGACAGCGCTTCTTCTGCTGTTCCGGAAGAGCACAGGGGTCTGGGAGGAAACTCACATCGCTAACGGCAAAATCTCCCACACCTGGAAGACAGTACCAGGAAGCAACATGACCGGCAGTCGACTGTCGGCAAAACACCTGTGGTTTTGAGGGCTTACAGCATGACACTCAGAAAAGTATGGGAGGGGCTGGAAAGATGGCTCAGCAGTTAAGAACACTGACTGTTCTTCCCGAGGATCTGGCTTTGGTTTCCAGCACCCACAGGGTGGCTAACAACCACAACACCAGTTCTAGGTGATCCTCTTCTGGCCTCCACAGGCATTGCATACACATGGTGCTCCTACATAGATGCAGGCAGCATCCATACACTACATGGGTGCACTTGCCTACATGCAGGCAATACATGCGTACACATAAAATAAAAATAATAAATAAAATATTTTTTAAAAAAGGCATCAGTGAAGTCAACTGCCTCTCGAGTTAAGACAAGATTCACACCCACACAACTTGGCAGATAAGGCATAGCTGGATTACTTCTAAAACCTCTAGAAAATGGTTCTGCCTAATTTATTCATTTTTCAGTTTTATAAAGGAATGAAGTCAGCCCAAGAGCTCAACAAATACAAAGTAAGACTGTAACAGTAAGTGATACCTGGCATGTGAATCTGGCTTTTATTTTTCAAGTATGCTCCTCTTAAATAAACATAAAGAGACACCTTTTGGTCACACTTAATGTTTGTTCAGATATCCTCAGGGTTTGTGAAATCTTCCATCCTAGAAGAATAATACACAATCATATAACTGTCAAGTTGTTTATACTTCTCTTCACATGTTGACAATTCTTCAAGTTCTTGTTCATGGGCTGGGAGTATGGCTCAGTATTTGAGCACTTGCCTAGCAATGAGGCCTTGACTTCAATCATAAGCCTAAGAAAGACACAAACATTCTTACTCACTAAGCATGTCATTTAGAAAACTAAAAAATATAGAAATAAGGAAGCATGATACAGCACCTTCTAGAAGAAAAAGAACAAACACATGACTGCATCCCACAGGCTGTATGTGATAATGCACTCCACAAGACACCTCAGCAGAAATGATATCCACACACATAGGGTCACATAAAGCAGAGAACATGGGTAGTACAACCCTTTACAGACGGGGGTTAATCTGCTGGCTGAGTCTTTTTGGATTAGCTTAAATTCCTCCAATGGAGGCTGAGAAAACATGAAGAAACCACAAGCCAAGCTAAGGCACTGGGTACTGGAGCACTGGCACAAAGAAGGCATCATTGGTGCTTAAAAATCTTCCATTTCTCTTACTTGTTTTTAAGCAATGATGGGGATCAAACCAAAGGCCCTGCAGGAGTTGCTGCTGTACCCCAGCCCTTACCTCCCATTTTTCTAAACCCTTCATAAGTATTGACTCTAGAAGGCATGGCATCTTTCAGTGAGTGCACAATATAAGCATTATCACTGTCTTTTTTTAACCTTTAAAAAGTTAAAAGGACTCCAGCTGTAGGCAGCTGCAAGTACCCAGGAAAGTGTCACAATGCTGGGAGAATAGCTGATAGCTGGTTGGCATTCTAGGCATGGTTCATGCCAACTGTGTTGTTAACTGTTCCAGGATTTCAGCATAGTTACCACAGATTGAATTATTAAAGACTGACCACTATTTCACTTGCCTGCTTTTCTAGGTATTTCTCCCTATAAGAACTATCCCTCATAACGTTTGTCCAGGGGTGCAAGCATACGTTCAGAAAACTGATGAGGTAAAAATAGATACTTCGGCCGGGCATGGTGGTGCACACCTTTAATTCCAGCACTTGGGAGGCAGAGGCAGGTGGATCCCTGTGAGTTCAAGGCCAGCCTGGTCTACACAGTGAGTTCCAGAACAGCTGGGGATACAGGGAGACCCTGCTTCAAAAAGACAAAAAAGAAAAGGAAATAAAGAGACCAGGAAGAACAAATTCACATTCATTTTACCTGTCTTCCAGGATGTAAGGATGTGAAGTTTGCCATGTGAGTGGCCTAAACTTCATAACTGTAATAAACCGGGCCAGGTTGTGGATCTCTTGGTTCTGATATTCCCCATGTACCATTCCAGAAAGGTAAAACAGCTTGGCCCCCTAAAGATATGACAGACAGAAGTGAAAACTGAATGTTTTCAATACTGTTTCAAGATGAAGGTCTTAAATAAGGAACCCTAAGAAGGCAGATCATGGGTGAAGCCACCGACTTGGTGTTTCAAAGCCTAGCTGCCTTCATCAGGACTTGTCCTGTGAGGGCCTCATCAAAGGAGACTTCCTTACTGTCAAACACAAGCATTAGTCTGAGCATGCAAAGGAGAAGGTCATGAGGTTCCTGAGCAGAGAAAGGAGTGACCACTGGGCCAGAGCAGCATGGGGAGAAGGAATGGCAGTCCTGGTTCTTGATTAGCAAAAGCTTCAGATGCACGCTAGTAAATTGTAACCAACATTGTCTCCTGTAGGTGGTACAGAAGTGAATGAGAAAGAACCAAGGGCTACCCAGGTAAAGACAGCATTTAGGGAAATGGTTCAGGGACTGGAAAGATACACAGGAAAGTCAGGAGGCAAATCCTGGAGATGTTTAGTAACATCTCTTCACTACTCTCGGCTGTCGAGGACTGCAGTGATGGTGCAGTGCTCTCTGCTCCTACTGGGTAGACCTCTGTCCAGAACTAGTGCTTCAGCTGCTTCTTTGTTTTCTTCAGTTGCTTATTGTGCTTGAAAGAGTCCAGGTGGGTGAGAATGCCCATGATTTTAGGAAAGCCATGCACTCGAAAGATGTTTAGAAACTCAAATGTCTCCATTTCAAACCCAAAGCTGGCATCTATAAGCATCAGCACCTAGAAACAGAACACAATTTCTCAAGGAAGCCACAGAAACAGACCACTCAAATAAAGAGGCAGCAAATTATGACCCTTGGGCCAAATCCAATCAATCATTTGTTTCTTAAATCTTAAAAAGAACTCCAACAACAGCATCTCCTTTAATACGTATACTCTTAAAATTACAAAAGCATTAATTAGCATTTCAGTCATTTAAAAAACATAAGGTTAGCCAGGCGGTGGCATAAACCTTTAATCCCAGCAGAAGCCAGGGAGCTCTGTGAATTAAAGGTTAGCATGGTCTACATAATGGGGTTTCACACCACCACCGC